ATAGAAGCTACAACTGCATTGATATTACTGAACACTGCAATAACATTGTAAACCAAACTGATCTAAAGCAACTGAGATGTCCAGCTTATCACTGATGGAAGGCCTTCTCTTGGTCTGTGCTAAGGATGACAATTACTTTCAGAGTATTTAATAAGAACTTTTCTCTTGTGTCTGATTTCCATAAAAAGGTACAGCTGCTTGTTCCATACCCTGTGAAATGTCATGGGTAGACAAGCCTGGGATGTTGTATAACTGCCTGATATACTAGCAGGGCTGCTTCTGGTGAGACATCCAGATGTTTGTCCGTTTGTATTTTATAGGACCTATATCTACCAGCCCAGGAGAATGCTAGCCAACTGGTTTTCTGGAATGGATGCAAACACATGGATGTGCATAGCTGGGCTGAGACAATTTCTCACAGTTGAAGTACATTTCACAATTAAGGGTATGAAACTATTAATTAAGTTAGAAGAGAAAAAACACAGCACTGAACATCTTAGGTGTCCTTACGTTCTGTTCAGTTCAGCTCAAGAAACAGAGGCTGAGAAGTGCCTTTAAAAAGGTGCCACAATGGCAGTGACCCAAGCTGTGTCCTGTGCTGGAGCCAGAAGCTCTGGAACATCTTTAGTTCTGTCACCACAAGGGCTGTTTCAGTTTCTGATCCTGTTAATAACTCCAGCTTTCTCTGCAGCTCATGGGTAATGCCTCTACAGCAGAACCCACAGCTCTTTCAGAGCTGACAAACAGGCCCTCAACCTGCCGGCCACACTCTTGTTAATGCACCCCAGCTCTTCTTGGCCACAAGGTCATATTGCTGGCTCATGCTTAACTTGTCCACCAGGACTCCCAGGTCCTTCTCTGCAGAGCTGGTTTGCAGCAGGTCACCCCCTTACCTGTACTGGTGCATGGGGTTATTCCTCCCTAGGTGCAGGACCCTAGTCTTGCCTGTAAAATGAAATGAACTGCTGTACCAGTAATTCTGCTTTGGACACCTTCAAATAAATCCAGTATAATGGGAACTTTACCGAAAACCAAGAGTCAGGTGTTTCATCCAGTTTGGAAACTCTGGTTCTTCTCCAGCTAGCTAGGTTGGATAGAGGCAGGATGGTGGCCCTGCACTCCTCAACAAAGCTGTATAAACATTAAATCAGTTTATATTTAACAAAGTAAGAAGAAGAAAAATAAAGACAGATAAAGAGTCTGATTGAAGAAGGACAATTTAATACAATGTCTAACAAAGCAGACATAGAGAAGGGGAAAGACCTGTGTATTTTCCCACCCCTGACCAAATCCTTGAATTTTCTCTTCCTAAAGCAACAGTAGATCTGACTTGTATATTACCTTGTACATACTAAATTCTATGTAAAGCTTGCTAATTTATGTGGTAGCTCTGCTGACTTTTACAGAAAATTAAAAGGCAGAAAAAGGTATAACTTCAGTATTTCTTAATTGATTGTATTTTCGTTGTCAATTTTATAAACATACATCTTCTGTAGGTTTGATCACAGCAATTCAATTTACTTCAGAATAATTATGGATTTGCCACAGAATTAAGTATTAACACCTTAAGGAAAGAGACATCCTTGAGAATGATAGGTGACTTCTGCCAATACATTGCTGTATTTTCATATGAATAACACAAACCTTTCCAAATGCATGACTGCAAGCTTATCACTAGCATGAAAAATGATGGGTTCAATCTGAAAGTATGTATATTTCAAAGAAATAAACTGGATTTTGCAGTGCATTTTTAAATTTGTTTTAATCTGATGTGTAAAATAAATTGTTCCATAACAATATTATGCAATGAAGTAGTACTAGTCAAGAGTGACTGACATTATACATAAGATATAACTGTGTCTAAATTTTCATATTTCATTTGTTTTACAAATACTTGCCCCACTTTAATATTATTGTCACTGTTCTGAAAACTGCATATTCTGGGAGTGTGTATATTTTGCACAACATTTTATGTACTCAAATGAAAAACTGCTGGGAAATTTTTAACTCTCTAACTTTCTAATAAAAATCTATTTTCATATTATAGTGTGATCTGAGTTTTCTAATAATCTGATACAAAAACTACTACTCCTTGGGGGGAAAAAATCAGCAAAAGGTCTGAAATTAAACATTACAGAATTTTGTAACATATATAAGCAATATTTTTGCACAGACATTTCTGAATGCCAACTAGATGTAACTAATAAAGCCTTATGCAAATCAATGCAAACAAAACTACCATTGGTGGTAATAAGTGTTTCTCAGATTAAAGATGTAGAAGGGCATTAATACATTAGATTTTAACATTTAGAAAACATATAATCAATTCTCAACAAACAAGCATATTTGGCAAACTCCCAATTGGTTGTTTTAGTTTTGTCTAACCTTAATGCAGCAAAAGATACTGAGTGCAAATATTCAAATATCATTCCCCAGACAAAGGGAATTTGCTGTCAAAGACAAATAATTTATATATGTTTAACAATTAAAACTGCATGTCTAAAGTACTTATTCATACCTGTTTCTAAACAGAAGAGGAAGGGAAAGAATAAAGGTCTTTAACTGTTTCTAAAAGGAAATAGTGGATGGCAACAAGAATTTCATTTGTTCCCCAAGCCTGAAAAGAGATAAAGAATATATTAGACTATATTTCAGGTTTTAAAACTAATTACAGAAACACAAAAGAAAAGAAGAAAACTAATCTTTTACTTTAAAACTTTTAAGACCAAAAAAAGCCATGCATCTTCTTTTCTGCATTTTCATTTCTCTACCTCAAGACTGAACAAGGCAACAAAACCATCTTTGCTTTAACAATCCCAGCAAGCTCCTGTGAATGTACCTGCTTTAATTCCACTCTGCTTGGAAAGCAAATGGTAACAACCTGCAAACCCTGAAATAATCTTCACTGAGATCTCTCATTCCCTCTCCTGCATTACTGTCACTAAGGATATTGAGCATTCCCATGCTTTCTGTTTATGAAACTTATTTTCCACTCTGTTGGCTCTGCACACATTTATCCTTTTTTCTTACTTCCCTGCCCCCTCTAATGTAAAGTGGGGCCTCAGTTTGCTTCTAAGATACTGATACAACAGTTTGAATGGGTCAGGATCAATAAAGGAAAGAGCAGTAAGTATGTTGACATTTTTAAGGTTTAGCAGACTCTGGTTTGGCTGAACCTATGCTTTCTCCTGTTGTTTTCTGTAGGACATGCTGTGTGTAATAATCATGCAGGGAGTTATTTAACATCTCAGTTGAAAAGAGTTTGGGAAGGAGACAACAGACACTGGACTGGGACTCAGCACACATAGCTTCTGTATGAAGCTGCCTGACTCAGCTAGTCGCTCTGAGAAAATAATTTCTCTCTGGTTTATTTTGCATATGTTTGAAATTTATTGAGGAAAAGTTCTGTGTGAGATTGATAGCACATAACTTTCCCCCCTCAAAGTATTAAGTCAGAATACCTTCCTTCTTCTACTCTTCCTCTCTGCTTAACTCTATTTAACCTCTGTTAGTTTTTCTTTGTAAACAAAACCAAGTCCCTGTCCTCACTCCCAAGAAGAAAATCCTCCAGTTCTCCTTCACTTTGGATGCAACTGTTAACAGAAAATCCAGAGCCAATGATGCACAAACACTATAGCAGTTACTGTGTCTCTCATCTCCTTTTAGTCTAGAAACAAGTCAGGTAAGAGTAAAGCAATGTGCTCATGGGAAAAGGGAACATGTAATGCTATCACAGACATAGGAATAGTGGAGTGTCTCAGACCATTTTGTTCTTCCAGTTAGAAAGGCCATCGCTGCACCTTGTAAACATCCTCAGGTTTCACTATGGGCTGAAGCACAAAGTCCTTCCTTTTAGTAGTACTAATCTGTAGATTTTACTCTCTTTCAACTTGCTAAATGAGAATTTACAAGCTTTTTGGATCAATGGCTCCTGTTGTCAGTGGTTTCATCCTTTAGATCTGGAAGGTTTTCTCTTTCTTTATAGACAAAGAAGAAAATCTTCTATCTGCCAGGTTGACTCCAAATCCTTCTCAGAACTTGCTGCTGAGCTGCCTCTTATCTATGACACATCAGGTCCCTACATGTTTGTAATATGCCAGTTGCACTTACGAAGCCTCTTCACTTTTTATTCCCCTACCTATACTTAGTGATTGGTTGAGTCATCCAGCCCTGCACTGCCCAGATGACCAAATGCTACTACCATTCCTTTCTGGCATTCAAGAGAGCCATTCCTGATATGGTATGATTTAGGAGATGATCAAAGGACAAGATGTGCTCTTATGAGTCAGATTACTGTACTTCACAGAATGAGTCTGATTTGGACCTTCTTAAAGGCCTGAGATGTTTGTTGTAAGACACTTATCACTAACCTCCTTCTGGTGAGCTGCCTATAAATTCAACTTAATTTCATTTGTGGAAGAAACCTGACAACAGCTTTTCTAAATACAAAAGGGATCCCAAAGCCTAAGTGTGTTAAGTGTTTGCTTTGGACTAGTGTAGAGAGCCACTGCTTTTTCAGCCACTGTGTGTTTACTTGACAGTTTTCTGATAAGCAGTGTGATACCCAAACCCCAATTTGTGACAGTGCTAACACCATCTGCCAGGTGCTGATAGCTTGCTGAATAATGCTGTCATCAGCACTCAAGTGCTGATGGAAAGTTATTGCTTCGGTAACCACTAACACTTTCATCTTCTGCCTAATTGGTTGAATCATGGGTCATTTTTCTTTATCATGATTTATTACTTTTAGGCTACCTTGCAGTGCTACCATTGTGTATTTATTGCTTTCTGCTTTCTGCCAATTTTACTAACCTACACTGCAGAATGAACTTTATTGCCAACATATGATTGCTCTTCGTAGCTGACTTGGTGACAAATACCTATAGAATGTTTTCCTAGACCTTGATATGGTGAAATACCTGTAAAGGACATGCTCTGCTAGACACTGTGGATGAGGCTGCCTCATGAGGTGGGGTACAGTGCCATCATTTGTGTAATCTTTATTCAGTGTCAATTGTTACAGCTAAATTTGTACCAGCGGAAAACCAGGCCAGGTAGTTTAAAGAAACTGTATACAGAAAATTTTGGAAGTATTTTAATCATCAGGAAACCACATTCAAATGCACAGTGTAAAGAAATACACTATGTTGGCCGCATAGACATGCATGCCCCAGGAAGTTCACTGACAGAGGTTGAGAAAAATAGACAGCCTTCATAGTTTTCCACTGCAGCATTGAGCTACTAAAATAAATACATGTGAAGAACCTCAAGTGTTTAGAATGGCTGAGAACATAATGTAATATAATTTAATCCAGAATCAGTTCTCACTTGCGTCAGTATTAATGTGGACTTCAGCTACTTTGGCTTTAAACTGCTGTACTGGAGATTTTGGTTTGGCTTCCTATTTTTTTGGCAGGATTTACCTTTCTTTTGCAGGATATTCTGTCTTGCCTTAATGAAAGCTAGGATGTCAGCATCAGCCTGGCTGTCTCCAGTCAGAGGAATAGATGAGCTTGGTATGGTCCTGAAATAAAAAAGTACACTTGTAGACCAAATTGAGTAAGAAGGGTTTTTTTTCTATTCCATTGTCTCCTCTCTTTTTTCAGCATGGAGAACTTTGTTCTCCAGATATATTTCTAGAGATGGCACAGTTCAGAGGAGAATCAGGCTCTGGACTTCTTAATGCTCTCATGCATATGCTTAAGATTAGCCAATATCTTTTTAGCTTGGCAGGGCTACATTCTTATCAGCTAAAAAATCACTCACAAAGGGTTAAAAATATTTACCTGCTGAGTCAAAGACTTCTTGCCAAGAGGGAAAGCCTAATATACTGAGTTTACTAAAGTAATGAAGGATGTGATTATGCCATGTGCTTGTTAGCTTCAGGATAAACTGCTGCTGTTTATTGGAACAGTTCAATAGTATTTTTGCCGACTGTAAGGGAATTAAGTTTTTATACATACACAGAAGTAAACAATCACATGACATTCATGACATTTGCTGACAGGTGCAACTCCTTTGTGCCGCTGAATCTCCAGTCGCAGCCGAGATCTCATATCTATGCAGTTAAATCATTAACTTACCTCTGCTTTTGGTAGAACCTCCAGTGGTGTAAGATGAGATAGTACAATGAAGCTATTTTAATCAGCTAAGAGAGTTAACAATTTGGTCCTGTGTCTATAACCTTGGTTATAGATTAAGCACTTAACAGTGAAACAAGAAATGAATTGATAAAAATTACAATATGAAAAGATGAGTGGAACTGAAGGGAGAAACATGTAGATTAAAGACGGGTATATATCCTACCGTTGTAGTGATAGTTATATCCTGACTATTGCTGTAGAATGTAATGGTGCCTGATATAAACAGAAGTCTGATATCCTTGGTTTTCTGCTACTAATTAAGTTTTCAGTTGCTGAATTAGGGAAGCAAATTGGAAAAATAATACAGGAAGGACTATGAACTTAGTAAAATATCTCTTTTTATGTAATTTGTAAGGTGATCTTGGAACACCAGGACTAGTGTCTTACTGATTTTCATTTGCTTAACAGCAATATAAAAAATTAAAAATACAGTATATATATGGAGAAGGTACTGTCTAAATTTCATTTTAGCTTTCCTTTTTCTTCTGTTTTTCTTAAACACAAAGGCAATTCAAAATACTAAGTTTCGTGGGGTGAAATTTTCCATGTTTTGCTGTTCTAGCTTTGGAAAATGCAAGAAAAACCCCTTGTGATTTGTTCTTAATAGTGCAGTAGGAAAAACAGCACCTTAATCATATTTTTCTAAGGGCCTTAATAGCCAGAACTCTTGAGCATAATAAGAATGTAACTTCTGGAAGTATACTGACTTGGCATGATGGATTTTTGGGAAAAAAGAACATAGAAATGAGCACATTAAAAAAAATACAGAAGCTGTCAAATTTTTTTTTAAAAAAGAAAAAACAACTAAAAAATCCCCCAACAATTTCTGACAACCTGCTAAGCTGATATTCATAGTACAGTAGCTCTTTTGAGAAAACATGACATATAACCTCTGCCATGCCTGACACAGCCAACCTGCTGTTGTCCTTTTATTTCTTCTTGAATCATTTGTAGGAGGGAGATTCAAACTATTTTAAGGACAAAATAACAAGAATGAAAAAAATCTCTGCATGGTTCCTGCATCCTGTAATACTTACATATTCTGATCTCTCTTCCTTTTAGATGTTTTTATTTACTCTTTCAGTGTCCTGTTCTCTTCCTGAGAAGACACAGTCATGAGGAGTCATAATCTCATGGGGAAAAAAGCCTCAGGTCAAACAAGAAACCACATCTTTAATGCTGATAATGCAGCTATTTGGTGTAAAGGTATGGGACAGCTTTGGTGTTGTTTTGAAATAAGAGGAAATTCTTCATTGTCAGGATTTTTTATTTGATTTTCAATGAGTCTGTTGTTAAAGACACTGATAGAGGGTTATCTAAGCATTATATTACTTACTGGCTTGCTTTTTTCCTCTGAATAGCCCAAGTACACCTCTTACCTTGCTTTTAAGGTAGGGTCAGCTGGATCTTCACTGGGGCTCACTCTCGTGGTCTCTGAAAAACTGGAATGGAAGTGGAAATGAAGGAAATAGTATAGCCCTTGTGGAGGCAGTATTCATACATGCTTAGTAACTACAAAGCAGCTGTTTTCCAAGACTTCTTTTATCTCTATAAAGCACTTGTTTGCTGCAAGAGGATTTTCAGTTGAATCCATCTGATAGGTAGGTTTATGTAAAAAATGTGCCTATGAAAGAATGACAAATAAGCTCATAAAGATTACATTTTTAGTATTTGCCTTCTAAGCAAGGCTTGTAAAGCACTTCAATGTATCTGATGTACAGTTTATAGTGGTATATTTAGTTCCTAAACTGACTAGCCAAGGGAAGCCTTAGCTCATTTTCCATTCTTTCTCTAGTCAGGCAAAATTATTACCAAAACCAGTGGGAGACTGGATAAAAACTCAGTGAGGACTTTGGGATGTGGCTTGTTGATGACAGCTAAATATATTGCAAACAGCTGTTGTGTGAGCAGATATGGTTACAAAGGACCCTTTCCACTAGGAAGGCAGATTTCTGCCACGGGATGTCTAGGGACTCTCTCCTTTCTCCGGGGGTTGGTTGCAAAGCTGCAGGATCTGGTGCCAGAGTGGAAACACTGAATTACTCAGTTTTAGGATTTTTCCAGTAGATGGCAGGATTGGCAAGTTTTCCAACTCTGCAGAAGTCTATTCATCGTTGGCTGACGAATTGGTATTTCTGGCAGAGAACTTGAAAAAGGAAAGAAATTTATTACTAAAATTTTACTGTATTACACTGTGCCAGGTTCAGTTTTGCAGAAGATATCGTGCCCAAGAGTATAAGTCATTTTCAAATGAATAGCTCCAGGTTTACTGAATGTTTCTCTTTAACTCCTCAAGTCCCTTACCATTTACACTTGCCTAAATGGATTAAAATAATCTCAAGACTCAGCCTAATTCAACTAAAGCAATATCTTATTTAATGTTAACCATATTCTGTACGTTATTACACCTACGTATTATAAGATCTAGAAAGGATGTGTGATGTTATTACCTACTACTTGGTTCAACAGTATCTGGGAACTCCACATCATAGCTCTGCTTTAGGATTTCCTGAACATTTTTTTCCATTGCTTTGGCAGTTCTTAAAAACTAAGTAATTTAAGGTCTAAAATTCAATTTTCTAAAAGGACTCTGCATCTGTACCCTGACATACGTAGGCATTCAAGCCATATAACTATGGTTTAATAAATTACTACACATCAACTGAACCATAGCAACTGTCCATCACTCTTTTCTTAGACTGAGTGATGTGACTTAACATGATCCTTCTGAATTGCTTTCTTTTCACTGAAATAAGCTTGGTTTTTATTTGCAATGAACAGAATGTATAATTTTATAAATACTGCAGGTCAGCTGAAGTAATTTATTTTAAAACTGCAGTGGTTTATATGTTTCAACTAACTTTTTCCATTTAATTACTCTTAAATTACTCTTCAGAATTGATAAATTCCCATTTTAAAGGGGCCTTAGATGCAGATCAATTACAAAAAATAGATGCTACAGGTATGGTAGGGTTTCACCTGTAGAGATCTCACTTTCAAGAGGGTTCCTGGACCCCAGACAATATGCCAAAACTTTATTAGAGTGGTCTGGGAGAACTGGACATCTGAGGAAGGTTATGTTAAAAAAAAAAAAGCCACCTTAGACTGAGTGAGGTTATGCCCAGAATCAGGATATTAACATTACTGTGCTCAGAGATGGACCTTAAACTCTCACCCTCTGCCTGTGGGGCTACAGCCAGACATTTTCATCTGTGGGATGCAAACTCCTCCTTTGCAGGTTAAGGAAACTGGTAAGAAAATTATAACTATTTTTTGTAATTACTCAAACTGCTGCTTTCATAGGAGAGGTTAACAATCAGAGTATTGATCTAACAAATGAGTACCTCAACTTGGCAGAACTCAAATCCATGTTTTATGTATCCTAGATATTTCTCTAATCCCTAGGCTAGAGGGGTGGCCTGTATGGGGCTAATTTACATCCTACATACTGAAGTTCTGATAATATTTCTATGGCATTGCAAGATACGTTGAATCACAAGGGAACAAAGGAGTCTAATTTTGCAGTGGTTTGCATGCTCAGATACAGCTTGTTCCTGGCCTGCTCTCAGAACCCAGGACCCTCCTCTTTCATCTTAGTGTTAGATGCTGTTGCAGCGATGAGAAAAATCAGCTCTAAATTTAATGGAAAGTAATTATGTAAGCATGGGGTGGGGGCTAGGATTCCTCCTCTCTGTCTGTTGAGTTGAATCTAAGAAGTCTCAAAGTACTGTTTCCTGACAGCTTCAGTAAAATTCCAGCTTCTTCTGGAGATTAAAGATAGTCTGGCAAGTTCACATGTGTCTGTACTTTTTTTAACCTAATACCTGAAGTTTCACTCAGGGGTAACAACTTGCTTTTTTTGGGGGGGGTCATCTGTTGGGAGTATGTGTCTCAGTCAGGCGTGGGACAGCAGCTAGAGAGATGTACACAGTGTTGTGGCAGTGTCTCCCCTGCTGCAGAACTCAAGGGCCAGAGATGACTGTCCCATGGACTGACCAGCTCCATCAAGCACATAGGGTAGAGGAGCTGGAGGGATGATGGTGTCATGATATTGAATGATTGATTTTCCAGCTTAAAAAAAAAAAAAAAAGAAGTGGAAAATCAGGTAGATTAAAATGGAAAGTGTAAAATTTGCAGGTGTGCAACCTCTCAGCTGTAGTTCTCCAGTCATCTGAGCCTCGGATGTGAGAAGAACAGATATTCTGTGTAGGGGCAAGCAAAATTCAAGCTGCTTAAAATCTGCACATTCTAGCATTTGGTTACAAAATCAAATTTGGCCTAACTTGCAAATTCATAATCTGTTCATAAATTGTAAAAGTTAAATTGTTACCAACAGAATGCAAAAATCTTTGAAATGTCATTAATCAATCATGTTATTCTCAGATTACATTTTGTCATCATGTAACAATGCAGAAAATTGGCAGGAATGAAACAGGATTACAACAGAAAGTGCTGCAAAATATGTAAACATTCCCCCTGTTTCACACAGCATTAATACAGGGAGTGGATTTTGCAACCCACGACAATAAATGCTAAAAAAATCTGATGCTCAGAGTCACCAGAAACATGAAGAGTTATCTGAAAATATCACCAAGGGAATCTAAAGTGACAGGAAGTTTTTGAAGAAGCTGGAGAGCCAAGAAGTCTACAATTGGATGTACTGTGGTGCTTGCTGGAATAGGACAAATGAGATTCAGTAAAAGGGAATGAGTGAGGTTGGAAAGATCTGACTGAATTAAGAAGGAATGCATTCCTTCTCAGAGAAAGAAAAAAAATCCAATTTTTTTTTACAAGATTTGAATGACTAACTATCCAACATTTGATTGATTCAAGGGGAATACAGGAACAGTTCAACACTACTGAAACTGAATACTCAGTGAGAGTAGTAACTTGAACAGAAAAGGATCTGACAAATTTCTTAAACGAAAGCCAATGTGGGAGAAGAGACTATTTGAGGATGAACACTGTGCTTGAATTCTGAAGTGGAGAGACACGGAGTAGTGAACTTGACATGCATTTTAAAACATTTTGCAGACTTGACAGGAACCCATGAAGTAATATAAATGTACATACAGTACGAGTTGCAGTTAGCACCACAGCTTCATGGTAGGCACAATATGGACAAGTAGAGTATTCACTTTCCACTTTGAGGCATTTTATTAGACATTCCTTTTGAATAAAATAATTTCTTGATTATTATTTTAAGTTCCTCTTCCTTTCTCTTTGTACTGTGGCTCTGGGGTTACTGATTAGACCCTTTTCTGACTGAAATACAGAAATAGGTCATTCTTTCTCCTCTTTCAAGACTTGCTCCTCTTTTTAAGGAACATGTTCAGATCAGATGAGATTTAATATTGCAGCAACCTTCATATGAAAGACATATGCAAAGATAAATATAGTTTAGAAACCTTCTGAATCTACTCAACAAGGTAATGAGCATGAGACTGTAAGCCTCAACAATATACAAACTACTGGTTTAAGCAATTTTATGTATATCTGATTTGGTAATGTGATTAACCTGTTCAAGAAATTACCTTTCTTATGCAGAAATGTCTTTTCTCATGTGAAACCCACTGATAACACTTTAGTCATCCTTTTCCCCACTTCAGCTCTGTGGTCACTGAAATAAATGTTTTGCTTCTTACTCTAGAGGGAGTAGAATACAGCCAATGGCTTTCAAACCTTACTTACTAAGGCAGAAATCCTCACTGTTCAACTCCTGTATGAACAGAGACTCTTTTTGACACTTAACAATTTAGCCATTTTTTTTCAACTGAGAGAACGTGGTTGGACATGAATCAAATGTCTTTTAAATGTGAGTATCTTTCTTAAGCCTCAAAAGGATTACCAGCCTCCCTTCTCTGTTATTTTAGTTATAAATTGATTTTATTTAAAATTAATTTAGGCTATTATATCCCTTTCCCAAGGCTTAATTTTCTCTGGTAACACAACTAATATGTGTCAAACAGTAATAATATGATGTGAACTGTGCACTAGAAGGTGATCAAAAGTTTTTGTTCAAACACATATATGAACCTCAGGAAAGATTATGTATTCTTTATATGCTGAGATTGATAATTTATTACTTCTAATTCTTAAGATTGTATTTATATCTGTTAAAACTCAGGAGTTTGAACGGGTTTACCACATACTTACTTTGTCAACAGCAGTCTTAGATTTCTGACATGCAGCCCACTAAGTTTAGATCTCATATCCATTGAACACACCTGGGAACTGAATTCTATCTTGGAGATAGGTTTTATTTATACCACATTGTATCAAACATAAATTATGTCAGTTTCTGCTTTTGTGAGCAGTTATTCTACTGGGTGAAGACAGCAATATCATTTCAGAGAAGGAGATTGTCGATTCCTAGGTGAGTTAGAAACAAAGAGCCATTTGTGTCTTGGGACTGTGTAACCAAAAGGAGCAACTGTAGCCTGGACTCATCCTACACAATCATGGGAACTGGTAAGTAAATTTCCTGTGTCAACTGGGGTCAAGGAAATCCTTGGGAAATAAATATTCTACAGTTTTATAGTCTTAAAGCCTGTAATATTGGAAACTTTTACTCTAAAATGTTATCACCTCAAATAGGGGGAAAAGTAAATTTTCATGCACAGTGGGATATTAAGACTGCAGTTCCTGTAGTACAAAAAGTTGAAATAGTGTTTTTGCTCCCATATACATCACACTGGAAATGTACCTGTGTAAAATATATTTAAAGAGCCTAACATAAAATAAGATCAACTTTCTGGAACTATGAGGAGTAGCTAACTCCAAAAGATTATTGCAAGAATATTGATAGAGGTGGGAAAACAAAACTATATTCATCTTGACTCCCTCTACAATTTAAGTTCAAGAAGATGAATGTTCTGGGTCTGTGATATGTATGCAAGGATCACCCAGTCAATCTCAGTCAACATGTCCATTACTGAAACCAGTTATAGAATTTGCTTCTGAGCTAGGGTGGGGGAAGGAGAAATCACTGCTCCTGCAGGCCACTCTCCCACACATTGGCAACTGCCTGGGCATTATGCTATGTTTTTTTAATTCTAGCTTAGGCTGCAAAAAATCTCACTCTCCTGAGCAATGGATCAGCACATGAACTGGAAATTGTTGTTCCCAAGAACAATGGGGCAGAGAGGTTGTGCAAGAGGTCCTTAGTTCAATTCATACAAAGTTAAAGAGAGTGAGATTGCTTGAGTTAATTTGGTTGCCTCTGTGCAAAGATAGACCAAAAATGTTCTCATGTTCTGCTCTATCAGCTTTTCTGTGGGACAAGTAACCTTCAGCCTAAAACCAGAAATTAGTAGCTCAAATTAGGCCTAAAACCTGCAGGCCATTTGCAAAGCAAATAGTGCCAAAGTCTTGAGAGAACACAGAGTAAGAGTTAAAGCACAGTAGAGAAAATGAGAATCGGTTTTCATCAGTTCAAGACATCTGAAAATGCCTTCTTAGACAAATGTAGGGGATTATGTGTTTCATTCTCTGAACTGGTAATGGACCATTTATTACAGATAGATGAAAGAACGTATTTTACAGTTTTAAGAAAATCCAGTATTAATTATTTAATGGTATGTAGGATATTTTATGTTTGCAGCAAAGCAAGAAACATCATTTATGTGGAGTATTGTTATAAAAATGTACATAAAGCCGCTTAGAGAGATTAGCTGTACAATGAGAAGAAGGGAGACAGAGAGGGAGAAAAAAAGAGCAAGAGAAAGGTGGGAAAGGAAAGAGGAAATGGGAAGCAGAGAGAAGACCTCAATTCTTTTGTAAATTAATATGGAAACATGGACATTCAATAATGTCTTTTTCTGCACTCTACTTTTCTTGAAGGCTATGGAAGATCTATTACTGCCAATTTAAATCAGAAGTGACTGATGATCACACAACCATGATGATTACTTTTATTTTTTTACTGTAGAAGATGCACCAGTGTTTTACAATTTCAAATGCAATATCATTGTGGAATAATATACTGATTGAACATAGCACCAGGATATTTTTCAACATCAAATTTATCTAGACTATATATTACATAATTGTAAATTATTTCTTTGGTTTGCAGCCTCCTCAATGCATCCTAAATAAGATATAGTCTCCTAATATATTGAAATTGACTGATAACAGGTGTGCTATTCTTAGCTGTCTGTCGTGGAGCCTCCAGTGACAGGTTTTCAGGTCAGAAAGGTCAAAAGACCTGAGCTAAAATAAGCTCAATAGGATTGCAAAATGTCTGAATTAAAAATATTTATTTTCCACACAGATGCTTCTTTCAGAACTGGAAATGCAGTGCTTGAGTGTGATACCTGCATTCTAGTCAGCTACACTTCTACTAAAACTGCATTTTCTCTACAAGTAAGGAAGGAAGAGAAAAATGACCAATTTACCTGCTAGTTTGACGTTGTGAGGATTTGATAAACTGAGGACAAGCAGCTGCGCTATCTGGTGAGCTAACCATCTCTGCCTTTTCCTGCTGGGTATAGATTGGAAAACAAAATTACACAGGACAGGATTTTCTTTAGAGTGCTTAATATTGGCCTACAGGTCTCAGCAATAATGAGGTAGGCAATGACTCATTCAGAAAACACAGAGTCTGAATCACACAGTATTTTCTTCACTTGGACAAACACTTCTGAACAAAGAGAAAAAGGTTTAGCATTGGTTCAAGTATTTTTAAGCTCACGTTACAGGTTTTTAATATGTAACAGCATGTGTTAGCCGATTTGACTTTCTTAGGGAGCTCAGATGTACAGATAGGTCAATATCCAAGAAATCAATCCCAATTATTTTTTTCAGTTTTCTAATCTTCTAGTGATGAATCATGAGAGGCTGAATCCTGGACCTCTCCTGTTAAGGGAGAGAGAAAAATGTGCTCCGGTGGAGTCAAGAATATTACTTGCAGTGCTTTGAAAAGCCTAAATATTTAGACAGGAGGGTGACTAAAACATGATCCTCTTTGCCACTAATATGGTTAGAGATTTTAACCTGAAAAGTATTTTGCAATGATAACTTGAAATTAAACTAGTAAGGTGGCAATTTATGGATAACTAAGTTCCTTGTGTTAAGTTCCGTAATTTAGTCTGTTTTCTGAAAAAAAAACACAACAGTTTAATTTTAAACTGTATTAAATAAAGTACTGGGTAAACACTTCTTTGTTTATAACAATTTTTCCTTAAGAAGTGAATCTCTTCTTCCAATGAATAATAAATATATTTGGGATGGACTGCATTCAGCACTCTTTTTCATTGGGTTGATGTGCATTTCATGGCAGCACTTTGCTGCGAGATGCCATGTCACTGCATGGAAGACATTAAAAAAGTGTCAGAAGGGGAGCATATGAAAGTTATGTTGTTGTTTCAGTTGATCCCCCTCTGGACCTTCCTACTGTCACCTGTGTTTGTGAAGCTGTGTAGCTTTCAGACCAACTGTGTTATGAACTTCTAACATACTAGTTAAGGTGACATCTCTTTAGTTTGTTTTTATACAAGTCATTAAACCAGAGCAGTCTGTTTCTGCTGGGTTCTTAAAGAGGCAATGGTGGCAGTGGTGGGCCTTGGCTAGACTTAAGGGATGCAAGCTCCAAGGTGAGAGCTGCTGACCCTCTGGGAGCTTAGGAAAGCTGAAAGGTTACTGGAGTCTTTGTAAACAAAGGAAGCTAAAAACCAATTATGTTAGTTGGGATTTGTCCATCTTACAGCTACGACTGCCATCTTCTAATATACACATCATAAACCTGATGAAATCATAGTTTTGCTAGCAGTAAAAGAGATTACTTTTTCCAATCTCCTTTATTTGTTTTATGTCCCTTCAGAGTTTTCGGCATTTCAGGACCATTCTTTACTTTCAATCTAGATGTCTGGGGGAAAGTCTAAGCAGAAAATAGAGCAGAAAGCAAGGGCTTCGCTTTGTTTGTGTTAGCTTCAGGTGAACATAATTCATATTAGTTTTGTCTGATTTACATCGGCATAAGCATAGGTGAATCAGGCCCCACATTCCATCCTTCATACTCTTTTCTATCTAGTCAATGAACTTCTTCTTTAAGAAGTTATCAAAGACATTACATTACATGAAAATGGAAGAAATACAAAGTTATTTCATACCCGTAGATGTATTGCCTCTTCAGACCACCAGACTTCAAAGTCTTTATGCAGCTTCATCTCGACTTTTTCCACAAGAAACTGCAGGTGCTTAATCTCTACCTTCAGAACTTTCAAGCGATTGAACATTGTTTTATAACTGAGAAGAAAAACTGCATTACAGATCTTCCAATGCATATCTGAACAAAGCTTCATGTTAGCTTGAACAGTTATAGATTTAAACTACAAAAGAATATACCATAATCAGAATAGCAGGGGACACAGACAGAGTGAAACATTGTTTTATAACTGAGAAGAAAAACTGCATTACAGATCTTCCAATGCATATCTGAACAAAGCTTCATGTTAGCTTGAACAGTTATAGATTTAAACTACAAAAGAATATACCATAATCAGAATAGCAGGGGACACAGACAGAGTGATGGTATGAAGTGACATCTCAAATTTGAAAAGAGTTTCACTGGGCACTAAGTACAGGAAACTTGTCCCCCAAAGCTGTTATTTCATTTAAAAAAAAAAAAAAAAAAAAAAAAAAAAAAAAAAAAAAGAGAAATTCAAGTTGGACCAATATTGATTGACAATTAAAATACAGATTCAATCAAATACATCAATGATATATTTTGATTTCTCAGCATGTTACCATTAATAAACAACTGGTCATTAGAGCTTGGACTCAGCAGGAGTTGAGACTGATTCCCTTTTCAGTTGGAAGCTTCACTAATGAGGTCTCTTAGCTAACATATAGTTGGAGATTTACCCATAGTATGAAACAGCCAGAAGTTTCCTCACATTCTGCATATAACATAATCACTAGCAAAATCCTTAGAACTGATATCCTTGCATCTCTTTTATCCTCCTGGGGGACATTATCCTCCTTTTATCCTCCTCCAGGGATATTAGAGCAAGGACTGGTTAACCAATGCATATTCTGCATATAATTTATACTTAGTCAATCCTGTACAGCCTAAAGGTTTTCCTTAGGTCAAGGAAGGTGGGACATTTCTAAATCAACCAATAAGAGTCACAATGCATTTGGATTCAATCAACATGCTTCTAGCACAAATGCTCAGGGAGGACATTAAGGTAAAATGCAGTGCTTGAGTGTGATACCTGCATTCTAGTCAGCTACACTTCTACTAAAACTGCATTTTCTCTACAAGTAAGGAAGGAAGAGAAAAATGACCAATTTACCTGCTAGTTTGACGTTGTGAGGATTTGATAAACTGAGGACAAGCAGCTGCGCTATCTGGTGAGCTAACCATCTCTGCCTTTTCCTGCTGGGTATAGATTGGAAAACAAAATTACACAGGACAGGATTTTCTTTAGAGTGCTTAATATTGGCCTACAGGTCTCAGCAATAATGAGGTAGGCAATGACTCATTCAGAAAACACAGAGTCTGAATCACACAGTATTTTCTTCACTTGGACAAACACTTCTGAACAAAGAGAAAAAGGTTTAGCATTGGTTCAAGTATTTTTAAGCTCACGTTACAGGTTTTTAATATGTAACAGCATGTGTTAGCCGATTTGACTTTCTTAGGGAGCTCAGATGTACAGATAGGTCAATATCCAAGAAATCAATCCCAATTATTTTTTTCAGTTTTCTAATCTTCTAGTGATGAATCATGAGAGGCTGAATCCTGGACCTCTCCTGTTAAGGGAGAGAGAAAAATGTGCTCCGGTGGAGTCAAGAATATTACTTGCAGTGCTTTGAAAAGCCTAAATATTTAGACAGGAGGGTGACTAAAACATGATCCTCTTTGCCACTAATATGGTTAGAGATTTTAACCTGAAAAGTATTTTGCAATGATAACTTGAAATTAAACTAGTAAGGTGGCAATTTATGGATAACTAAGTTCCTTGTGTTAAGTTCCGTAATTTAGTCTGTTTTCTGAAAAAAAAAACACAACAGTTTAATTTTAAACTGTATTAAATAAAGTACTGGGTAAACACTTCTTTGTTTATAACAATTTTTCCTTAAGAAGTGAATCTCTTCTTCCAATGAATAATAAATATATTTGGGATGGACTGCATTCAGCACTCTTTTTCATTGGGTTGATGTGCATTTCATGGCAGCACTTTGCTGCGAGATGCCATGTCACTGCATGGAAGACATTAAAAAAGTGTCAGAAGGGGAGCATATGAAAGTTATGTTGTTGTTTCAGTTGATCCCCCTCTGGACCTTCCTACTGTCACCTGTGTTTGTGAAGCTGTGTAGCTTTCAGACCAACTGTGTTATGAACTTCTAACATACTAGTTAAGGTGACATCTCTTTAGTTTGTTTTTATACAAGTCATTAAACCAGAGCAGTCTGTTTCTGCTGGGTTCTTAAAGAGGCAATGGTGGCAGTGGTGGGCCTTGGCTAGACTTAAGGGATGCAAGCTCCAAGGTGAGAGCTGCTGACCCTCTGGGAGCTTAGGAAAGCTGAAAGGTTACTGGAGTCTTTGTAAACAAAGGAAGCTAAAAACCAATTATGTTAGTTGGGATTTGTCCATCTTACAGCTACGACTGCCATCTTCTAATATACACATCATAAACCTGATGAAATCATAGTTTTGCTAGCAGTAAAAGAGATTACTTTTTCCAATCTCCTTTATTTGTTTTATGTCCCTTCAGAGTTTTCGGCATTTCAGGACCATTCTTTACTTTCAATCTAGATGTCTGGGGGAAAGTCTAAGCAGAAAATAGAGCAGAAAGCAAGGGCTTCGCTTTGTTTGTGTTAGCTTCAGGTGAACATAATTCATATTAGTTTTGTCTGATTTACATCGGCATAAGCATAGGTGAATCAGGCCCCACATTCCATCCTTCATACTCTTTTCTATCTAGTCAATGAACTTCTTCTTTAAGAAGTTATCAAAGACATTACATTACATGAAAATGGAAGAAATACAAAGTTATTTCATACCCGTAGATATATTGCCTCTTCAGACCACCAGACTTCAAAGTCTTTATGCAGCTTCATCTCGACTTTTTCCACAAGAAACTGCAGGTGCTTAATCTCTACCTTCAGAACTTTCAAGCGATTGAACATTGTTTTATAACTGAGAAGAAAAACTGCATTACAGATCTTCCAATGCATATCTGAACAAAGCTTCATGTTAGCTTGAACAGTTATAGATTTAAACTACAAAAGAATATACCATAATCAGAATAGCAGGGGACACAGACAGAGTGATGGTATGAAGTGACATCTCAAATTTGAAAAGAGTTTCACTGGGCACTAAGTACAGGAAACTTGTCCCCCAAAGCTGTTATTTCATTTAAAAAAAAAAAAAAAAAAAAAAAAAAAAAAAAAAAAAAGAGAAATTCAAGTTGGACCAATATTGATTGACAATTAAAATACAGATTCAATCAAATACATCAATGATATATTTTGATTTCTCAGCATGTTACCATTAATAAACAACTGGTCATTAGAGCTTGGACTCAGCAGGAGTTGAGACTGATTCCCTTTTCAGTTGGAAGCTTCACTAATGAGGTCTCTTAGCTAACATATAGTTGGAGATTTACCCATAGTATGAAACAGCCAGAAGTTTCCTCACATTCTGCATATAACATAATCACTAGCAAAATCCTTAGAACTGATATCCTTGCATCTCTTTTATCCTCCTGGGGGACATTATCCTCCTTTTATCCTCCTCCAGGGATATTAGAGCAAGGACTGGTTAACCAATGCATATTCTGCATATAATTTATACTTAGTCAATCCTGTACAGCCTAAAGGTTTTCCTTAGGTCAAGGAAGGTGGGACATTTCTAAACCAACCAATAAGAGTCACAATGCATTTGGATTCAATCAACATGCTTCTAGCACAAATGCTCAGGGAGGACATTAAGGTATTTTTATTTATTTCTACCCATTAGCCCAAGCATAAATTTTCCCCACTCACGTACTGTGGCATCTTACAGAAAAACCAACAGCATATACAGAAGTTTAAAAATCATTAGTGAACCACAAGCTGACATTTTGAAAATGTCAGAGAAAACCCTGAAGGTAGCTCTGTGTGCAGAATTGTAACTGGGATATACTATCAGTATAATTTGTCTTCTGAAGGATGGCAGAACTTTGAGGGAGAAGTAATACCTATTTTTTTCTTCTTCAATTTGCATCCGAAGCTTCTCTTCTACTGGATCAAGCATATTTAGCTCTTCAGAAGGACTGGAAACAGCTATGAAAGAAATTATAAGATGTGAGCAATAACAATATGATGGCAAAAGAAGCAGCTTTTAATCAGAATGAAAACTATTTTTAAGAGGTAGGTAACGACATAGGTAGGCTGTCAGTAACTATTTCTCTCTGAAAACCTTTATTCAAATTACTTACTTAGGTCTTACTTAGTGTAAAAGACACTGAATAACTAGTCATTTGAATTAAGTTGCTTTTAATTATTTCTCCCCAATCCCCTATTAAAAACTGGAATATTAATTTTTTATATGAATAACAGTGAGTTTACCAGTCCACTTTAAAAGTTGGTCTTTGGCATAAATTCATACTAAATGCATTCAACCTGACAGTTTTGGCTGGAAGAAAAGAACAGAACAGCAAAGTTGTTGCCAAAAGAAGATACAACAGTAGCTGCGCTGGTGAGTGGAAACAGAGTAACAGAGGAGTGTTAGACAAATCCTGAAGGAGAAATGATCTGTGGTAAGCAATAAATTGAGACAATTTATTGTCTCAATTATGTACAAATAAGGGAAATGCCCCAAAACTATGTGAGATATTTTTCAATGTAAAGGAAATACCTTAAGAGTAGCCTAACATAAACTAAGAAAGCAGGTTTGGATTTCCCTATCCTAGAACAGGGCTAGTTGGCATGCAATACACAAAATGCTTATTCTGAGAGATGGCAAAACAGTCTTTCCATCACGGGTTTGTATGTTCTGCAGTGAAAGGAAATGTGAAGTTACCTACTACTATTACAAGTTTCTATTTCTAGGATGAATAAGAATAGTGTAAGGTTTCCAAGAAAACATATTTAACCTTTTTAACTGAAGACAAATGAAAGAAACAAAAGATTTGCTATACAATGCATGCAAGTTTCCATCCTGACTATTATTTCTGCCAAGAAAATAAATTCTGTGTCAACCTGTCATGAGGCCTGAGGAGTACACCCTCTCTTCAAGGAGAGGAATTCTGTCTGGAACAAGAGGGCAGTAATGACCCCTCTTTGCCTGACAGAATGTCAGCTGAAACCATTAATCTTTTGTTGTAGCACCCTGTAGCTTAATGTAGGTGAAGCTGAAAAGCATTTTATTTCATTTAGAGTACTTAGGTCAGGCATGTTAATACAGACAGTCATGATGAACAAAGCCCATGCACAATTCTCATTTCATACACTGAAAGGCTTTGCTGGAGAGGGAAAGGTGAAGACATTTGTGATGGAGTGGATACCTGCAAAAGATTAAAAAATAAACTGCTTGGAATGTTGAAGTGAAAGTGCAAGCCAGGAGGTGGTGATGCAAACATCACAGCAGAGGAGATGCTACAGCAGTGGCATCATATAACAAGTTATACCCAAACACAATAGATAATAAGAAGGGTTTAAGGAAAGCAGTAAACCTTGTAATGGTTACAGAGGAATCAAAATTTTCTGATTCGTGAGATGTCAGCCTCTGGAGTAGTCATAATGTGGGAAAGCACAGAACTTGTGGGGTGACACCGCAGAGCTCCTGAGGCTTCACACTGGTTCTGACCTTCATGAATACACAGCATCCAGGCTTGAGAACAATGTGCTCTTGTGGAACAAAAATAAATTATTTATGTCACTGCCTCCCAAGTGAGCCACGGTTGTGGATCATGTGAGCATCCTTAATACGTCTCCATGCAAAGCCAGCCAGACATAGCTTGAGCCATCTTCAGCAGTAGTTAAAGGGGACACTCCTGAGAACACTGACGTGTTCCTATTTAGACAAACTTCTATGGTGTCTGAGCTCAGAAGGTAGCATCTCTAGGCACTTATAGTAAAGGAAAATAATACAGAGTGGAAGACAGTAACATTGTAAAATATTGATGCTGTTTCTGAAGTGAGGACTTCCCTACATGAAAACAACACCAAATTCTGCTGGTCAATACAGAGTGATACAAGGGCATAATATTGCAGCTTTCATTTCCTAGTTTATCTGGACATCTAATACTTGGAAAAATATTTGTCACTAGCTCTAACAGGGCAGATGACCTTAGGCAGAATTTTGTCACTTACATATAAAAATACCAAGAAAAATGCTTTTCTGCTGCAGATTACACAGTGTAGAAGAGCTTATATAGTTGCCAGTTACCTTCAATAATAATAATAAAGCCTTTTATATGCCCCAGCACCCTCAACCCTAAATACAGCTATGCCCATTATCTCAAGCAATATACTGGTGACAAAACAAGAAATACAGCTGTGGGCAAGATGAGCAGCACAAAGTTTTTTATATGTACAGAATAGGAAGAGTTGAGTACACTGTAAGTTGATGGGGCCTCAGCAGCAAAATCAGCATTGGATGTTTCATCAAGTAATTGGCTAAAAGTTACACATCCATCACTCTGTTTCAGTCATAAAAGCAGAAGAGAACTGATCACAATGTTGTAAGTCAAGTCTAGGACATGCCTTCCTGGATACTGCTTTCTAAGTTCTCTGGTGTCTTTTCTCATGCTGTTGCAGTCTCCATTTCAGCTTTTTCTCATGCCTGCTCATTGCAACGTGTTTGCAAACTGAACAGCATTCTGCTCTAAATACTAGACCTTTTTGAATCTGCCTACTGTAATACATCCAGGCTCTCTCTTGATGTTCCAAGCAAAAGATATCTATGGTCTGGTAGAATGTATTTAAACCCTTTTGTTTGCTGCTATTTCAGCCTTCTCATTCCTTGCTACTTCTTTTCTCCCCTTACCTTTCCTGAATCACTGCAGTGGCCTCTTTCTGCCCCTAGGCTCCTGCTGCTGCTGCCTTACAGCCTCTCCTCCCACCAGCCCAAGCAATTTCAGCTACACCTCAAGCTAGGAAGCCAAGGAAGAGGTTACTGACTCATTGTTTCTCATGCCTGATGTTAGTATTCTTCAGGGTGCAGGCTTAGTTACTTTAAAATAATATGACAGGAACAACTGAGCGAACAGACAGTAAAACAGAAAATGTAACATTTGCTCACAAATTTAAGACAGCTACTTAAGAAGAAATATTTTCTTTTTGCTACAGGTTTTTATTCCTCTAAAGAGTTGCTATTTATTGTATGTATCTGCCTGCACAGGCAGAAACAGAAAATATTTATTAAAACATCAAATAATTTTATCTGTGTATTGACAGTGTATATATGAAGTATATATATGAAGCTCTGGCAAGGGGGTTGGACTAGATGATCTTTTGAGGTCCCTTCCAACCCCTAGGATTCTGTGATTCTGTGATATTTAAAACATGAAAAACCAAAAATCCATGAGACCAACTTCTGCCCATTTACATAAAATAATTGGCAATACTTTAAGAACTGCAGAGGTGCTAGTGGTGAAATAGTAACCCTCAGATATCATTTCTGCAACTGCACAGAAGAACACAAAGTGGTATCTGCTTTGTCCACTCAGGGTTGACTTTTAATTTGTTGATTGACAGTCTGTCATGTGAAACTTGATTGTACAGTCTGGGTCTATGCTTTTAGTCCATCAGCTGTTATGAGCCATTCAGCTGATGTGCAATAATCACATGCATTTTAGTGCCTCAGTGACTTCTCCTGGGAGACAAATGCAGTTGGTGCAATTTGATCCTCGATAATGAAGACCCAGGTTTCAGGGGTGCAGGAGAGGTATGATGTGCATGTTTAGGAAAGCGTTGCCTCTGCATGTGCTAGGGGTTTCTGTTGGCATGCTTCCATCTCATCCTATACAAGAGAGTTCTTTATAGCAGAAGTCAGCAATGTACTCATAAGGAATATTAGTTCCTATACATCAGTGTAACTGCACATAGAGCTGAGTGGCAAGGCTTGTAAATCTGACATTGTAAAGGACATTGTTGATCCTGCTTTTTGTTAAGAGAACTGATGATGTAAAAAAGAGATTTTGACAGAGCTACATTGAGTAGTGCAAGAGCTAGCAATTTTTATGCTTGTCTTCAGCCTGTTTTTGTTCTATATTCAAATACAACCCATTTGGTGAAGTGAGGCACAGGATATAATTGACATCAGCTGCCTGCTTAGAGTGGAAGGTGTGTTTTGCTTGAGTTGGTGCTCTCAGTTCATATTATAAAGGTTTGTGGGATTTGGATTTTTGTTTGTACCTTTCATAAAGAAGATTTTAAGAGGCATTTTAAGATATAATGGCTTTATTCTAATGAAAGGGACAATTTTGGAGCACAAGAAGCAGTAAATTTTCCAACACATTCCATATCACCATATCAACTCAGTACCAGAAAGAAAAGATAGCACCTGCTAACTGGATCACTGTTTCATAGCAATATGGCAAGCATGGATAAACCCCACTATTTCTAGAATGAGATGCCAAGTGTTATCACTATAGTTAACTGCAAGCTGGCAACAAGTTGAAACACTCTGGCAAATTCTTGTCAGAAAATTCTGCAAGAAGCTCTCTGTGACCTTAAACTTTATACTCTCTGGGGCACTCATATATTTCTTAACCTGAGCGTATCCTAGAAGCCAAACTCCCAGGGATTTATTGTCTTGTGCCTCAAATAGCATTGTGCCCAGCCTGCCAGCTGTACTTTTGCAGTCAAAGATTTTATTTTTTTCACTAGATAGTCTTGCATTTATCTGCTTAAATTTATAGTCTCTTGAAGTAACCAAACTTAGGACTCACTTCAGTATCTAGTTATTATTTTTACTGCTTTATTTATCAGCTTTGCAGCTTTTGGCGAAGTCGGGCTTTAGTGCTTTCAAACTGGAGCATATGATGTCTTTTGGGGTTTTTGAAAATGAATTACCCATCCATTGTTATTCAGGACCATCTTATAAGTAATTCTCCCCTTCCCCTCATACCTCCTCTGGGCCATGTCAATCTATGCTTGTCAATGGGCACCAGCTGTGTGTACCTTATTACAACAGCATGATGAAACTCAGGAGAAGATGAAAATACCCTAATAGATTTCTTAAAACTAGCCAGTTGGTCATGAACATACATTGAAACAAAAGATCCTGTTTTCAGCACTTCACAAGTTTATGCATGTGATTTAGGCATGGAGGATTA